GCAAGTCATACTTCTTTTGCTGATGGGGCGTCTTGGCTCTATGTTGAGGGCCCTCCTCTGGATTAGGCTTTGGCTTAAGGGAATGCTGTGTCTGGTTTGATCTTCTATCCAGACCACTAAAATTTTCTCCCTATTAGCAATAAGGCTGTTTCACTTTCTTATCATTCACGTGTTCACTGGAGTAGCACTTTTAATCTCCTTCAGGAACTTTTCCTTTGCATTCACAACTTGGCAAACTGGCACAAGAGGCCTAGCTTTCAGCCTATCTCAGTTCTCAACATGCCTTCCTCACTAAGCATAAACATTTCTAGCTTTCGATTTAAAGTGAGAGACATGGGACTCTTCCTTTCATTTGAACACTTAGAGGCATCCCAAAACAATTATAATAGTAACATCAAAGATCACTGACAGATCACTGCAACAGATATAATAATAACGAAAAAGTTTGAAATATTGCAAGGACTACCAAAATGTGACACAGAGACACGAAATGAGTACACGCTGTTGGAGAAATAGAGCTGATGGACTTGCTCAACACAGGTTGTCACAAACTTCAATTTGTTAAAAACATAATACCTGCAAGGCCCAGTAAAGTGAAACATGGTAAAACAAGGTATGCCTCTATAAGGAGTCACTCTTCACTGTGACTAGTAATTTCTTCACTCCAGCAGCTTTTTATAGAGCACCTACTATGCACAAACACTGAACTAGGTATTAGGAAGGATTCATAAAATTGGAAAGTATGAACACTTTTCTGACCCCCAAAAGCACAAAGCCTAAAACAGAAAATATGGTTGATGATGTCAGCTAACATGGTATGCGACTGTTGCTAAGTGCCTGGGGCAAATAGATGGTAGAGAAACTCGGAGGCAGAGTCTACCACGGAAGCGTGGGGAAGTACAGAGAGTGAGGGAGCGCTTCTTGGACCTTCAAGAAGAAATAAGAATGAGAGAGCCGGAGATCCAGAGCAGAGAGTGTTCTAGGCCATGGTGATGTGTAGGGAAGACAAGGTTGCAGAAACATGACAGTCCTCCCAAGGACCATCGAGAGGCTGGTATGGCTAGAGTGAAAGGAGGGCAAAGGAGAAATCTTTTTGAAAAGGGAGGTTGGGGCCAGTTTGTAGAGGACCTTAAACGCTATGCTTTCATATCAATGTCTAAACTGTGAGCAGTAGAAAATCAAATGATTTATTAGCAGTTTTTAACTCTAATGTTGGTAAAAATTACCCATCTATTTAAAAAAAAAAAGCAGCAATGCAAATATATAGGCCCCACTGCACACTTAGGACATCAGAACCCCCGAAGTTGGGGTTCAGGCGTATGTTTAATGAAACAAATTCCACAGGCAATTCCGACATAGAACAAAAGTTGAAAACCACTGCTATAGAGTCTGGATTACCTTGAGTGCCTTTCTATGGCAGAGGGGTCAGAAAAAAGGAAATTAGAATTTGTTGAGTGCCCACCTATGCGAGGTGACTTACAAGTATTATTTCATTTGGTTCTGACAACAACCCGATGAGAAGAATGTTATTATCTTCATTTTAGAGACATGGAAACTGAGACTTAGGATGTCGAAAATACAGTAAGTCACAGACCAGGCTCCAAGACCACTGCTTTGCTCACTGTATCACGTGACCCCCCCCAAATACCTGCATGTATTTTCTCCTTGAAACTTACTGCAGCTCAAATTGAGTAGCAAATGTGGTACCATAAAAACTCCTCCCATCCTCTTTTCTCTTCTCCAGTGATGTCTAAATTTTACCTTCCCTTTGCCCGAAACTGAGCCAAAACCCCTGAAGCCTATAATTTCACACTAGGGATTTTTTTCTTCAAAACATTAAGGGAGTACAGATGTTTTTGTTACATGGATACCTTGTATAATGCTAAGTCAGGACTTTTAGTGCACCCATCACCAGAATAGTGTTCATTGCACATGATAGGTAAGGTTTTACCTCTCACCCCCTCCCACCCTTCACCCTTCTTGGTTTTTAATGCCCTTTAAATCTCCTTGTGTCCATGTGTGTCCATCATTTATCCCCCAATTATTAGACAGCACATGTGGTGTTTGTTTTTCCCCTCTTGAGATACTTTGCTTAGGATAATGGTCTCCAGTTCCATTCAAGTTGCTACAAAAGACATTATTTCATTCCTTTTTATGGCTGAGTAGTACTCCATGGGGTGTGTGTGTGTGTGTGTGTGTGTGTGTGTGTGTGTGTGTTTGCATACATACACACCACATTTTCTTTATACTCTGATGAATCGATGAGCACTTAGGTTGATTCCACATCTTTGCAATTGTGAATTGTGTTGCAATAAACATTCGAGTGCAGGTGTCTTTTTGATAAAATGACTTCTTTTTCTTTGGATAGATACTCAGAAGTGGGATTGCTGGATCAAATGGTAAGTCTACATCTGTTTCTTTGAGGAATCTCCATACTGTTATGCATAGAGGTTGTACTAATAATTTACAGTCCCACCAACAGTGTGTAAGTGTTCCTTTCTCTCTGCATCCACACCATCTTTGTTGTTTTTTGACTTTTTACTAATGGCCATTCTGAAAGGGGTTAAGGTGGTATCTCATTGTGGTTTTAATTTGCATTTCCCTGATTATTAGTGATGTTGACTATGTTTATTTTTTTAAACAAGCTAAATTAACTTTCTCATAACTTTTTTTCTTTTTCTTCTACCCTTTTTTCTATGATGTCTTCCAATATACCCTACAGTTTTGAAACTCCTTATTCAGAGCAGAACACGAAATGAAATCTGAAATATTAAATAATTACATTTGTGATTTTTTTTTTTTTACCCTATGGCTGATGAGAAGTGTCTATATCAGGCTGTGCACAAAGTCCAAAGGAAATGATGTTGATGCTTTGTTTAGCTAACCACCAACAAGCACTGAAAAACTTATTTTAATCTAAGCAAGTTCCTCCTTTTGCTTTTGAAAGCCGTTATCCGAGGGTAGAATCTTAGCCACTGTGTGTATGTGTCTGTAGGTGTCTAGAAGAAAAACATCTCTTCATAAATCAACACTAAATCTCCACCTATGTGTAAGATTCTTACCTCACATGCCTACTTCTATTTTTTTCAGTTTGAATACTTAATTTTTCTATCTTATTATCAGTTGCATGATGCAAGAAGATATTTTCCTCCTTTATATAGACTTTCTTAAATCCTCCACAATATATTATTTTACAATTTGTTTTTCCCTCACTCTTGATTGGAATCCTGAGTAAATGTTGTTTCCCTTTCTTTCTGGATTCAAACGTTCTTCAAATGCAATTGACAGTTTGTACACGCCTTTATCCATATCACGGAGTAATGTCTGTCACTTTGGGGCTCAGACCCACGTGGATTAGCCTATTTCTATGCCTGAAGGAGCCTAAGCTGGATTTCTAAGCCGAAAAGGTTCAAACATAGCATCTATATCTAGCCTTTAAATATCTACTTTGGCAGGTGAGACTTTCATTCCATCAGGAAGAATTGATTGCCCATGGTTGGAAGCCTTAATAATGCTTTGAATACTTGTCAGGCCACTGTGAGCAAATGTACAAATTATGTAATGCAAGCCCCCGGGGACAACAGTCACCTAGACTACAACGCAAATAGTGCTGTCTGGACTTAAGCAGTGCACATCCTGCTCAACCACACATAACAGCCCTTCAGTAAGAAACTTATTTTCCCCTAATGTAAATAGTTTCCTGTATCCCTGATGGATACAGAAAAAAAAATCAAATTATTCAGATGACTTGAGTGACGAAAGATGGTTTTATCCTCAGCAAATAAAACTTGGTTGTAGAAAAGGAGACTCATTAGTGGTAGGCAAAACAGAGCATCACACCAAAAAGGCACTAAACACAGTCCTATTTATTTCAAAACATAAGGTTAACACGATAATAATAAATATTTTTAACACTGAATGTAGAAAACTATTGTGCATATTCTGTGAAGACAATCTACTAAAGAATCAGAGGAAAAGATAGTCCTTTGCCTCTAGGCCATTGATAAAACAATCTGGGAATAGGACAGCTTCAGGAATGTTGCAGGGGGATGGAGGGAAGGCAAGAGAGAAGTTAATAAAAATCAGGAAAAATTTTCTATTCTCCTTTCTTTACTGGGGCCTTAAAATTAAAAATCTGGAGTTGGAAAAGTACCCTTTCACACACACATGTGGTTCTATGTGTGCTTTCTTTCTCAATTTTGGAGAAGAATCACTAGTTAGTGGCCGGGGTCACTGTAAACGAGTTCCCAATTTCAATCTAGGCCCCCTAGAACCCAAGCAGGAGCTGCTCCTGCTGATGCCTCAAGCTCAGGCACAGCCACCAAATCCTAAGTGGAGAACAGAGGGTGCGGCACCACGTCAATGGCCACCACCAGTAGCTCTGCGCAGATCTGAGTCCTTTCAGCACCGTCTTTGTGAGCCGGCCTGGAGTGCAGCCCCTCTGCCCCCTGCAGCTGCCCAGGCCCCCCGCCCATGGAGGGAACCTGTCTAGCCATTTTTTCTGTAAATCTCAAATAAAACAGAACCTCACAGATTTGGGGTCCCCCTGCTGATTATAATAAACAGTAGAGACAGACTTCAGGAAGGAACAAAGGGAGATCAGCCTCAAGTCCAAGTTCAATACTCCTTCCCGGATCTTTTTCCCACAAGACATAATCTTCCCAGCAGTAAAAAGGAATAGAAGGCATCACCCTAAAAGCCACCACTGCTCTCAGGACGTTTCTGCGTAGGACGAGGAGGAAGAGAGCATGCCTACGCCTTCATTTTGTTACATGATCTCACAGCTGAGAGCAAGTGGAAGGCGGCTAAAGAGAACAAAAGAAGTTTATACCTAGTACTCCTAGAACAGGTCAGCAACAGTTTCAAAGGGAAGAGTTGTCTCAGGTTCTGGCACATTTGAAGACAGCTGAAGGCCAAGACTTAACCAAGGAAGGACACCTGCAGGACGGCTAGATACACTTTCACTTCCTTGGGTATTAGAATCACAGGGTATTTTTTTAAAGCTAAGGAGGACCTCAGGGATCTCCTAGTGCAATCCCTTCATTTTTCAGAAGAGGCCCTGAGGGCTGGAGAGGGTAAGCAGCCTACGGAGGCCACACAGCTTGTTTTGTCCGTTTGGGGGACACTGAGAGGGCCAGAGAGGCCACAGTGAGCAATGCAGTGCAGGGGAACCTTGTGCCAAGTGGTCAATCACATTCATAATCCTGCGCAGACAAAAACTTCCCATCCTGGGCCCTTTCTGTTGATTTGTCACAGCAGTGGGCAGGTCCTGGACCGAGCTATCCATGGACTTCCCTCAGGAGGGGCTGCGAGTGCAGGCGTGCCCTCACTTCCCAGTCCGGGAGGCCACCTGGATGGCTTTGATCCAGTCTGTGCGCTCCTTGGGGGTGGCTGCTTGCAAGAAGTAATGCACTTCATCTGCCGTGATGATCTCAAAAAGGTTCTCTTCCTCACTCTTCCTGCCTGGGGAGAAAGAAAGGGAATGGCAGCGCACACAGACAGCAGAACGGCCACTTGGTCCACCCTCCCCTGCAAGTCATTCAATCTCCATTCTCCCAGTGTTGTAAGGACATTAAATATGTGATTTTCAAACATATGTTGTATGATTATAGAATAATTCATTGCATAATTACATATACAGTATTCATATAGATACATAGTATAACAGTGTGCGTGTCTATTTTTAAGAAATAAGTAAAACACCCAAGGAGAAACATTTTCTTTCTTAGTTTATGATCAAACTAACTTTCTTATCTTTACACAGCAATAGTGTTTAGTGAGCAACCTCTAATAGTGTCTAATGGGTACCTTTCCTCTGTTCATTACATAAACCAGGGGCTGACCTTGAAATCTATCTATCTATATCTATATAGAAACCAAACAAAACCAGACCTACCACTAGGACCACAAGTTTAGCTTGAACTAGTTTTTATCAAGGGCTAACTTAGAGCTTCTGCTGACAGACCAAAAGGCAATAAACTGGCCAATACTATGACAAGACTTAAAACATCACAAATCAAATTAAAAAACATCATGGTCCCTACCCCAAAACTAAAGCATAATTCTCAGGGGCGAGGCGTGGGGGTGGGCAGATTCAAGCTTGGTAGAAAATCTAGATTTTGCAGCTGTGGTGCTTTCCTGTCACCCCTGTCACACCATGAACCCAAGATGGCAAGGGTTCGTATGTTAAAGCCCTTCTCCCAGTGATACCATTTCTCCCCAGCTGCTGAGAATTCAATCTACACCCACACGTTTATTCCACGCACCAAATCATAGACTTGTGACCTGGGGTCATCCAGTGCAAGCACCTCACTTTTAGAGCAGGAGCTAAGATCCAGAGTAGTGAGGTGACTCACTGAAGGTCATGAGGCTCGCTGACCAGCACGGACTGTCTGGAGCACAGGTGCTCTTTCCTCTCCCCACACTGCCTCACGGCACAAAGCTCCTTTTGTTGTGGGAGAGTTCCTGGTCTGCACATGTGGAAGCCTTCCTTTAAGGAGTGACACGCCGAACTACAGGTGTCAGGAGCTGACAGCTGTCCATCTAAGCCAGTTCTGAAGTGATGGGGTTTTCTCAGCTCTGCCCATGGACTTACTCGAGGCATCCACAAAGCCACTCCGACTCCCCAAGGCCTGGACAGCCCAGGCAGCAGTGGGGAGAGAATAAATAGCTCTTGGTCTCCCCGAGGTTTTCAGACAGTAAATTCATTCATGCTCATGCTGACTGATTGATGGATGGATTGATGTTGGCTCAGGACGTTCAGGCGCAGGAGGGGACTCTGAGCAGACACAGCTCTCTCACACAGAAACTCATCTTACCATCTGGGTTGCTCTCCACCGAAGTCACCACACAGCCTCTCAGGCGAACTGCTCCCAGGGGATCTTCCCCCTAAAGGAGAGAGGAGTTGTTCGTTATGTTTGCAAAATAGAGTGTATGGATATGCCTTTTCCTGTTGGTGCAAAAGCCACACAGTCCCTCTGGTATAGGTCAGGGCCCCCAAAATAAATAAGAGCGAAAGGAGACTGAAGAAAACTGCTTCTAGATCCAGGGTCCTTCCAGATCCTCCACACTCCACTTTGGTGGGGCCAGGAGGCTGGATGAGAAGGCACAAGTCAATCTGGGCTTCCATCTGGAGGACAGTGGCAATGGAGGTGGAGAGGCTCATGTCTCCCAAAGAGGAAGAGCCGCGTGTTTCCAGAGCTCTTCAGCCCCATGCACCTGATGCAGCAGTTTAACCCTCACAGGAGGCAGTCTAACGGCCCTGTGCTGCAAGCAGAGGCTGAGGACCCCACCCAGACAGAGCTGTCTTTATGCATTACAGGTGGCTCATTTTATTGAGGGAAAACCCCTCTTAACCAATCAACAGCCCAGCCTGCTGGGCCTAAACAATGCTTTCATCCAAGTTGGCCCGGATGAGGAATTATCACATTTTTGCATAAGTAGAACATTGGACTGATCGAGCTCTCCTGAAAGTATCAGGTTGGGGCAAACAAAAAAATTTTGTTGAGTTTACCAAATAAACTATATAGTGATATTTTCTTCCATCCCTGAGCTTATGCTGGCCACAATGGCCCAAGATCTCAGATCTTTGCAGCAAAAGGGGCTAGGAAAAGGTAGAGGAGGATGGGAGAGAAAAAGTGGGGTGTGAGGAGGAAAAGGGGGCATCAACAGAGTAGAAGGGGGAATGGGAAGCCCAGCTCATGAATGCAGTGGAGGCTCCTGTTTGAATGGCTTTATCAACCACAGAATCTCACCCCAGCAGGGTCATAGTAGTGCAGGTAGGCGGGGTCTTCTCTCAGAATGAACTTCCTCACTTTCCAGTTTTTCCTCCTATGCCCCTATATCCAGGATTGACATAAAAAAAAAAAAGGAATGATGAGTTCCTAGCATCACTCCGTATATACAGTACCTACATAATAAGTCTTTCATGAAGTGAACAGGGAAAGAAAGGATGAAATACTAATTCTGACCCATGTCTGTCAGGGAGATAGCACTAACGTCAATCAATAATTTGGATATTATTATATGAAATGAATGGATTAAATTATTCCTAATGATTGTCTTCCAGTTTTAATATGATACAAGACAGTACTCTGTACAATGTACTATGTTAGGAAATATAGGAGACATAAAGGGGTTTAAGACATGGCCCTGTTCTTCAAGGAATTTATGATCTATGTGGAAATGTAAAATAGCAAATGCCCAAATCAAATAAGTGGTGTAGATAATGGGTTTCAAAGACATTAAGTGAGACATATGTAATTGTGGGCTTTAGATGTCAAAGAAAACCTCATAAAACCTACGCTTATCCATGTGGGACACACAGGATTTAGGTGGGTGAGACAAAGGTGGGTGAGAAGACTATTGACAACACAAAGGCGTAAGTGAGAATGCACAAGGCACAATCTGACATTAGACCCATCTGGCCAGATGGAGTGTCGTGAGGAGTAGCAGAGGCAAGGCTGGAACAGTAGACAGGGACTTAGTGAAAATAAAAGGTGGGGGCTGTTGCTGATGCCTTTTGAGTAGGAAGTGAAAAGAATACATTTTAAGATGGTAATATGGTGACAAAATACAGGATGGACCAGCTGGTTAGAGGAAAGGAAAGCCAGGGGAAGATGACAAAGTAAAAAGGAGGCCATTGGGGAACAATTGCAACAATGCAGGCATAAAATTATTAGGACTAAACTTTAGGGAGCAGCAGTGGAAATGGAAATGAATGTGGCTGTAACAGACATGATGAAAAAAGAACAGGACTTGGCCTTTCCCCATAAGATTAGACACTGGCGTTGTCTAGGCTGTGAGCTATCAGGGCAGGATTTATGTCTTGCTTATCTTTGCTCCCCAGTGCCCAGCACAGAGCCTGGCACATGAAAGCTGCTTCATATCTGTTTGTAATTGCCATGAATTACCTAGTTATTTTGGTTAGCTTATAGCAGATTTCAATTAGCTTATAGCAGATTCTACAATTTCCCATAAAGGTTCAAATGACTTCAAATTCAGAAGCCAAAAAAATTATGAGATTAGAAGATACATAGTTTCTACCTTGCCAACATGAAGAATACTATTTGCCATTTTTTAAAGCACCCCATATTGACAGGTACACATATAAATTTTCCAACATTTTTTATTGCACTTGTGTTGAAAGCAAAAAAATACATGGTTTGAGCAAACAGTGTCTCCTTCATAAAGCCAGACCAGAGGAGTTTAAAGGAAGCTTTCAGGAATGGGCCTAAGCTTTTTGGCTAAATATTTGGTGAAGAAGCTCATTGCCAAAGAACCTTTCACTTGCCTGAAGTATGGAGCCAGGAACCCCACAGAGTCATATGCCAGGAGAGAAAATATTTCTATCTGCTATGTCATGTCATGACATTCATTTCATGAGCATTTCCTCAGGAGTTTTAAGGAATGCATGCATGCCTGGTGTTTCCAAAAATTGTTGCTGAACCGTCAAAGTCATCTACTTAGATTCGATTAATTCACTCTACAGTTGTTTATTGCCTATTACAAAGAAGGATGCTAAACTCTGAAGCAGATGCAAGAAAAACATGTATAAAACATTGTCCCTCTCCCTGAAAGAATCTACATGTAGATGTTAAACAAGTAGCTATTTTATTCATTGTCATAACAGAAGGAATTATATAAAAAGTGATTATATTGAATATAATCCAAGATCATTCATCCTCAAACTTGCTACATTTGCCAAGTAGAATTATTTCCTCTGGGATGAGAGAAGTGGAAAAAGAGGAGGAGTGGATGGCCTCCAGCTGGACACAGCTACTTCCCATCTGTGAGGTGTGGAGCACGGGTGTCCTTTTTCATGTAATAAGCCTTCTGTGGAGGTTAACCACTCCCAGGATGGTTTACTTTTTGTGGAACTTAAGTTTTACAATTTTTTAAAATTCCCTCTACTGATTCTGATATGGACCAGGGTTACTAACCACTGAGCTAAGAGATTACAAACATTAAGGGGAATGTCAGTTGAAATAGGAAAGGTTTTTGTCACCACCCCCTGCTAAAAAACAAAATTAGAAAAAAGAATATTATAAAAGAACAAAATTCCTGAATGCACATAGATTTCTGAAATCTTCATGTAAAAAGAAAGCTTCTAAGAATAACTATTTAAAGTGCTGTATTTCGATAATAAGATAAATTAGCTTTTAAGAAAACAGCTAGCTCAGGTTCTAGGTGATTCACACATCAGAATCACTCGGCAGCTATAAAACTCCAGAGTTCAACAGTTCCCTGGGAGATTCAAATGTGCACCAGCTGAGCTAGCGAAGGCTAAATTGAACCTATCAAAGGCCGTGGAAAGGAAGGCAAAGGAAAACATAAAAGTAAGTTACTCCCTGTCCCCATTATCTTTAAAACACACTTGGGCACCCATTACCCACAGCTACTTTTTGACCATCCAGGGTCTCCAGCAACTGGGGTGCTCTGCTCAGACATGGCTCCAGTCCAGTCTACACTTTATCTACCCCTTATTAAAACGTATCCTCAGCTTTCAAAGAGCCCCACTCGAGATTAGGGCTTCTCCAATCAACTAATTCAAGATAGTTCATAACAATATAGAATTATGGAAGGAATCAACAAAATAAGGAGATAATGTAATTGCCTCCCAAGTTACTCTTGTCTTAACAGCCACATTCCAGCACCTGCAATCAAAGAGCAAGGAACACAGGTCTGTTTGGCAGAACCAATGGGGAAGCCAGCAATGGGCAAACTCTGCCCACGGGCAACTGCCAGAGCCTTCCCTATATAAGGCTGGCCCTGCCTCAGGACTTTGCTTTAATCTAGTTAGCTGGTCATCCTGTCGTAAAAGATATTAGGATAGCCCATCAATTTTTTTCTAAATCCTTGCTGTAAATTTCTTAGGATACTGTTCTCTTAAAACCTGACGCGAAGGTAAGTTTTCCATTCTAATGAATCATATGCCAGTGAAACTCTAAATCTATGTCTATACCTACTCTCAACTACTAGCCCAAAGTACCTCTTTGTAAATGTAAATATATGCTCTGGTCTGATTTTTCCCTCCTTGCCAATCCCATTAATCACAAGATGGAACTTATAGGTCCTAATATGAGGTAAGTCAAATCTCTCAGTCCCATGGGACCTATAGGCAGTGAGTTCATGGAAATCTCCTTACAGCAAATGAGGTTCTTTCCACTCTATACTGAGCAGTGCTTTTAAGGCAGCTCACAGCAAAGCCAGAAAGGCAAGAACTTGGCCCTGTAAAGCAGCCTTGGCCTTTATGTCACCATATGCTAGTACCAATTTGCTTCACCCTGAATATTCCCATGTCTTCCTGACACTTCTTCCTCTACCAGGTGCTGGCCCTGGCTTCCTTGCTTGGCACAGCCCATGTGTTCTCTTACCTCTTGGCATGACTGCGTGGCTTGGCACCTCGTAACTGACTCCTGCCTTCCAGACTGATGGTGGCCTGTACCTGTGGACACCTGCACTTCCCCCCAGGACTGTGTCCACATCCTCAGTCTGGATTTGACATTTGCTTGCTGTTCCTGTGGAGCTGGCCTCAGGCATGCCCTGGTTATGGTCTCACCATGCCCTACTTACAGTCTAGAATGGCATTGTTCTCAACGGTATATGATGCTCCCTTTCTGGGTGTGACCTGGTCCCATTTTCCTTGTTACTTTGAAGGGAGGAGGGACAGGCAAAATGGAAGTACTTTTACCATACAACATCCCTGTCTTTTAGATGGCATCTCTTAGACAATTTATCTCCTCTGGCCAATGAAAAGGGCAATAATTTTCTAGAAACATCTTTTTTTTTTTGAGACAGAGTCTCACTCTTTTTCCCGGACTAGAGTGAGTGCCATGGCGTCAGCCTAGCTCACAGCAACCTCAAACTCCTGGGCTCAAGCAATCCTACTGCCTCAGCCTCCCGAGTAGCTGGGACTACAGGCATGCGCCACCATGCCCGGCTGATTTTTAGAAACATCTTTTTTGTATCCCGATGTTGATACAAGAGTCATCTTCCTACTTCTAGAGGCATCTTCCGCACTACCTGCCTCAGTCTTCCTGACCTAATGCCACTTCGATCATCTGCTTAGCTATTCATCCGTCTTTCACTCCGTAGGCTTCATTTTCTGCTCGACTACTGGCCAAACAAACTAAATGTCATTTCATAATTTAGAAATAAGAAGGACCTGGTAAGGGGGAAAGGCTGGAAGAAAAAAGTGGTGGCCACTCACCTGTTTCAGTAAACATCCCTGCTTGATAATGACTCCTCTGAATTCCTCCTTCAGAATCACGTCATCATCGCTGGAATTCTCTTCACAGAAGAACCCACTGTCTGGCTATTGGGGAATCAAACAGCAAGTTGACTTTACCAATACACATTCTATCTCCATCTCCACCTCCCCTCCAGCCACTAAGGTAGACTCCTCCTTTTCTTTCTGCTATTGTGTGTATCCCAATCCACGCTTCAAAGGTTGTCTTTGGCTAGCTGGTTTCTCCTCCTCCTTTCACTTGCTTCTAGAGACTGGTTCTTTCTTGTCTAGTCTCCACTCAAGTGTCATCTTGTCAATATCCTTTATTTTGCAGGGTCCCCCAAGCTCCATCCTAGGTTTAGCTCCATCTTCCCCATCATGCACATTTCTGCCTTCAAAGCTTTCCTTCCCTTGGGTCATCGTGGCCACATCCTTGAAAGCAGGGTGGGCTAATTTATAATAAGCAATAGTATCTTCATCTCAACCTCTGCCACTAAGCCCCTTCTTTGAGAAAACTGAGAGTATGTGTCCAGCCTCATCCCCTGAAGTCAGGAGGGAACTGGGACTCACTCAGCAAGAAGGGGCAATGAATCATACAGAGGAAGAGGAGTCTCTGTGATAGATATTTTTAGAATCCTGCACTTAAATATCTATAAACAACCAGGTCTAAGGTCTGGGGGGTGGTGGGAGGGGAGAAAACCAAATCAACAGTAGAACTTCCCCCAAAGTGAAATGAAACTCTCTCTGGGGCATTCACTTCATTTTTGTAAGAAGGGTGGTTCTCTTAAGTAGCTTCCTAACTTCTGCACTCTGATCCAAAATAGAAGCGAAATTGCCAAAATTCCCCTAAGAATCCACTGTTGCTTATTTTCCACCTGGCCCAAGGTTAGGTTCACATTGTGTTTCCCAGTCTTGAGTGGGCATGCATACCAGGAGAGGCACAATAAAAAGATGATGGCAGGAGGTGAAACGGATAAACACATTTTGTATTGAGTCGCATATTTTAATGTACATTTGGAAAAATACAACTAGCACATCGCACCTGTGATTTTATTGATGTCTCGCTGAAAAGGAAGCTCCACGAGGGCTGGGTTTTTACCTGTTTTCCCACCCCCTACCTCTACATCTCCTTGATCTCCTTGTCTAGGAGGGTACCTGCCACGGACTGGGGCCTAATAAATTTTTATAAATGAATTATTGCTTAGAATAAGAATAGATATGATACAGTAAAGAAAATTATTCAGGTAAATAATAGTTTCCTTTAACAAGCTCACTGGGATGGGGTGGGCGTTGTGCAGGAGCAGCTATCGAGCCCGGGGCACGTTGGAGCAATGGAAGCTCCAAATGGGCCTGGGCACTTCAGGTGTTTCCTTGTTCTTCCAGACTGATCTTCCCTGGACGCCCCACATAACAGCACTCTGTAGGGCTGGGCCCTTTCTTTTGTTTATGTGTCTATGAACCGAAAATCAACCTAGAATCTGCCCCGGGCAGCCCCCATTACAGGGAGAAGAGATGGGTAGCTTTTCTCACTTACAAAGTAGTAAAAGGCATCGGGGTTGTCCAGGAAAGGGTTTTCAGCGGTCCCATCCACTGCATTCTTGGACATGTCTCCAGCGGGCTGCAGATACCCTTCATTGAGCAGTGAGGAGGCAATCATGAGGCCTTCCTGGCGATTCCGGACAGACTGCTTAGACACCAGCCAGTCGATGACACAGCTACCTGGATGGGATCATCAGAGGGAAAGTGAACTCTCTGTACTGAAGAAAAAGCCACTGACAATCACCCCTGAACTGACTCCAGAGCACCCAAGTGTCTGACTTGTCTCATCTTCCCTGTTATTCCAAGAAAGAGGAAGCAAAACAGTGGGCTAGATACCTGGAAACAAAAGAAACGATATAAAGGATTTTTTAAAACATCTACATGCTGCTTAAGAAGCAACATATGCATCAAAGAAATCGTTTTTACTAACCCACTCATTTCTTCCATTAACGAACAAACATTTATTTAGCACCTACTAGACGCTAGGTACTCAGATGGGTGTTAGGGAAATTCCCTCAGGGAATCTAAAGGGGTAAGATGGCTGATAAGTCAGTCTTGTAACCAGGGCTCTGCTATATGTCACTTAGTACCGGGGAAGTACTGGGTCAAATGTGAAGGCGTGAAGGGGGTGGAGGGGGTGGGAGGAAAAGGCTGTGCACGCATGGTCAGGAAAGGATTCATAGAGGAACTGACACTGGGCAGAGGCTTCAAAAATGAGTGGGTATTTGCCAAGCATGTGAGGCAGGGACACCAAAGAACCAGCCCCAGCTGAGGGAGCAGCAGCATGAACAGATACACACAGGCACGAAGCAGCCCCATGGGGCAGGGGGACAGGGTGGTGGAAAGAAGGCAAAAGAGAACAAGAGGAGGAGGAAGGTGCAGGGTGGGTGGAGAGAGCTTTGATGGCACATTAAGAATTTGGCAATGAAAAATCATTGCAAGTTTTTAAATGGGAAGTAACATGATGGATGTGGTGTCCTACATTAAAATTTGATGACATCACCTGCACTGATTGGCACACCTGAGCAGGGTCTAACAGTAACCTTGAAAAGTCATTTAATCAACCTTCTGCCTCAAAGGGGATTGCAAAGAGAATAAAATGAAATTCTCCCCACAGGTACTTAATGAAATTCTACCTACCTTTCAGGGTCAGATTTAGATATTACTTCTTATTCACCCCCAAAAGCCCCTGAGCTCTTCCTCTTTTCTGAACTCATAGAATTGATTGTGGAAAAATGTGACCTTTTAAATCGTAATAACCACTTGAGAGCTTGCACCACATAGCACTTAGCGAGGCATTGTTCTACACGCTTAAC